TTTTCAGGACTGGACAATTTGATTAATTTTGTGCATAAACTTTAATTTTTTCACTGTAGATAATTAAGAGGGGAAGTATTTTTGTTGATATGGGTTTGTAATTAGTTTCTTTTTGTGTTTTTTTTCTTTGGTGTTTCTGTAAACGAATAACAATGTTTGATTATTCTTTTTGTTCACTGTATATAGTTGCACCTTTTCTTTTAAATTGAATTTTTTCTATTAAAAAAAGAAAAAAAATTGGATTGGATACTTTTGGCTCTGATGTTTAAATCTTAATAAAGTTACCGAACCAATTCTATGTTTCAGTAAGTGAGTTGGGGTGCCCACATTTTTGCACCTGTCAAGTTTTGTTTTAATTCATATTGCACATTTTCTGTTAGTCCAACAAACCTCAATTTAATACTCAAAATATTACCGTGTCGATCAGTTATTAGATATATCAAACTGAAATAGCCATTGCAAACACCCAAATATTTAGAAATTAAAATAATTGAGATTAATAGGGGAGCCCAAACTTTTAAATATGACTGTACTCGTCTAAAGATACGGGTCAAAGTTTCACACAAACTTTGTTGTCTACAGAAACCATAAAAGCAGGCTTAGTTTCTGCGCTAAACGAAAGAAAAAGAAATTTGTTCTTTTCCAATATTCACTCTCCTGCAGGCTGAAAGCCAAAGTCAGCAGATAATAAACCACTAAGACACAAAGCGAACCGTAAAGCAGAGGCTGGGTTTGTTTTACTCCAACGTTCCCCATGACATGCATGAAAAGCAGCCTCAGTGAGGGAGCGCCGGAGGCAACGGAGATCACTAACAAGAATCGATCGGGTGAAGTAAACATGACAAGCGGCCTCAAACCCGTCGGGAGCTTCCTTTAACTGATGCCACCGGCAGCTCACGTGTCAGCCCTCCCCTAACGGGCAGGAGCACACGCCGTTAATCAGAAGTATAATGTAAATATGAAACAACGTTGCCCCAGCGTTTCCACTTCCTGGCTCTGGGCATCCAGATGAGTGAGCGCTTTGAAAAGAACGATCTATTACTCTGCGTTCCGTTGTTCTCATTGATCCATCAGCTACCAGGGCCCTTGAGACCACGTATTAAATATTTCATGGCTGAGCTGTTAGTTGTGTTTGGGTGTGTTTGCAAATTGCGCCAAGAGCTCATTAGGCAGCCTAAAATGAAGTGTCGAGGCAAGAAAGTCATCAGACGAGCACGAAAAGAGCATTTGGAGACTTGATCAGCTCGCTCTGAGCAGGGTGTGTTCTCTTTAAAGTGGATGTCAGTGCAGACGTTGGCTGAAGCCCAGAGTTAATAGGAAGTAATATTCTTTCACCATCATGAGTCACTCAAGCAACCGTTACACAATCCATATTAGCTAACTACTCCTGTGTGTGAAATTGAAACCCTTCCTTGTTTTCTGGTAGAGGACGGAGCAGAAGGAGTGGTGACCACCTTCCTGTCATACTTCCTCCTCTCGCTGACCCTCTGGGAGTCAGTGCTGATGTCATCGCTCACTCTGGGGGCTGGATGTGCTGTAAGCAGAAAGCTCAGGGTCCCATGCTTGGCAGCATATCCAGAAACAACTATTACTTCTTGGGACTGCAAAACAGCAGCTGATGTGCTGCTTCTCCATCATAGTGCTCATCTAGTGTGTTTATGGTAAAGTCACATCATTTATTACTAATATAGATAACAGAATCAAAACAGAGAAATCCATGAGAAAATAAATCAAAGATATAGCTGCCATGTTTTTCCTTGGATTTATGTCTGATTGTTCATTTCAGCTGCTTATAATGACCTCCGCCAAGGAGGTGATGTTTTTAGGAGAGTTTCTCCATCCGTCCGTGGAAATGGGAAAATGGGCGAGGTCTGCATCCTCCCAGGGCTGTTCTAGTTTTTAGATTGTTTTTCACCTTTTCTAAGAACAAACAAGAAGAGGTCTGCTAAGAAGGAAGAGAACAGAGGAAGGAACATCGCCATCCCAGATGTTGCTGGAGTCTCTGAAAATAGGAGGATTTTCAACCAGCACCGGATCCCTGTGCACTTCAAACCCAAAATAACCCTGAGTCAAAGATGACCCCCAGAAACAAGACCGACAACATGGTTTACACCGTTCAGTGAAGTGATGATTGCACAGACCTGTACATTGGAGAGACCAAGCAATCTCTATAAAGGCACATGGGTCAACACAGGAGGACCAACTCCTCAGGACAGGAATCAGCTGTTCACCTACACCTCAAGGATAAGGGACACTCGATTGAGGGCAACAACGTCCAGATTCTGGCCAAGGAAGACAGATGGTTTGAGAGAGGGGTTAAGGAAGCCATCTTTGTTAACCTCGAAAAACCACCTCTCAACACAAATTTCACCTGCTTAAAAATACCTTTTAGGAACAATACCTACAAGATTCACCTCCCACCTACC